TATAAGGGTTTGATCATAGAATAGGCCCTAAGTTTCGTTTGTATCTTCTGTAACGCCCGTGTTTCTGGGCTAAGGATTAATTCGATGATGTAATAGTCAAGGTCAACCATTTTAACCTATTTTAAAATAATAAAGATGAATTACTTGAATATTATGTGATTTATGTGATTTTATGTGATTATATACTTGTTTGTAAGGATATAATAAAAATAAGCGTCAAAAATAAAATGTTAGATAAACCCGATATCTATGAAGAAAGTTCTAGTGGCCGTGACAAGGATTCCGAAGATATAAAGAACGCCGAAATCCGAGTTATAACAAAGAAGTTATGACCTGTCGATGTTTCGCAACAAAAACCGACACGACGCTGTGTGACGTAAAAAGTGAGTTTACGAAAAAGTGCTTTTAGCCTTAGCAATCTAAACGAAAGTCGTATTATACGTTAAACCGAGAGCGTGCATAAAAAGAACGTCCAAATCTGACTTCGTATGAGGAAGTTATGAAATTTCTAAGATTTGGCATAGCAGTGTACAACCCGGAGTTTGAATTTTAGATCGAGCGATTTTTAGCCCACACAACCTAAATGAGAATTGAAGATCCCATTTATAGGAGTTCAACAATAAAAAGACAGTCGAAAACGGAGTCTGTATGTAGAAGTTATGAATTTTACACGGTCGTTAAACAGTGTAATCTTCTCATACTGTTAAATTTAAAATCGGTCGAGATATAGCCGATGGAGTCAAAAGGATAGTTGTAGATTTGTCAATACCTACGCGTGGATATAAAGAACGTCAAAAACGGAGCTTGTATGCAAAAGTTACGGGGTTTAGAAGTCGGAATGGTGTTGCAGCGAAGTGGGTGACGTGGCGCAATATGATGACGAAACGTGGCACCAACTCGACGAGTTGGACCAGCAACTCGACGAGTTGGGGGTCAGAAACGCGACGAGTTGGGCCAGAAACTCGACGAGTTCACCCCTTTTTCAGCTTATAAATACCCCCCGAGAGTTCCTTCATTTTTCATACCAAAATCTACTTCTTCTTCTCTCTACTCACTCTCTAAACCTCCCAAAACACCCCCAAAAGCCTAGGAAACTTCCCTAGCACTAGGAGAAAGCCCCAGAGCGCCCGAAGGCTCCGAGAAAAAGAGTTTTTCGGTTTAGAAACTCTGCCCCCGCAGAGCCCGGTTTTCAAGCAAAGCTCCCGGTTTCGTCAAAGGAAATCATATTTTTAAGAAGCGAAGCGCTGTTCAAGTTGGAATCACCACCTTATCTGGTGGGTGCATAGTTACTTTCATCTTACACATAGATATGAAGTATCTTATATAAATTACGTGCTATGTGTGCATATTTACTTGAGATCTATGCTAGATGAAAGGTTTAAACTCCGTTGTTTTTCAAATCTAAACTGTATATGTATTTTGTTTACAGATATGAACCCTTTTCTTCAGATCTAAACTGTATATGTATTTTGTTTACAGATCTGAACCTTTTCTTCATATCTAAACTGTAGATGTATTTTGTTATCAGATCTGAACATTTTCTTCAGATCTAAACTGCAGATGTATTTTATATCTACAAATGTGTTGGGTAGAACATGGGTAGATGAAATAGTTGATGTGTGAAGAACTAAAATGATGAGAGGCATTGATATTAAAGATGATCCAGTCATCTAGCGGAGTATAGATGACAACCACAGACTTTTCTAGAGAGTCCAGTGGAACGCTAGCAGGCTCGCAACCTGTAGGTGTTTATTTGGACTCAGTGTTCGCCAGAAGTACTCCATCCCCCTCATGGTTGCATTATTTGACATAAATTGCTGAGGTATCCCCTAAGCAGTGTTGTTGCCCCGATGAAAATCCTTAGGCTAGGTCCCTTATAATAGATGCCTTAGGGACGTAAAGTGAGGATAACGGGAATGGGTAAACATGCTTGTTTGGTTGATGAAATTAATAAACTTATTTATTGTGGGTTGAAAACCCTATGTGCTCACCAGGCTCCCAAGCCTGACCCACTCAGTTTCTTGTATTACAGGTAGTGACACAAGAGTATAGATGCGAAGACCCGATGAGAGATTATGGATTTTGAGCTAGTAGAAATGAATAGAATGTTGTTGTGAGGCCTATTTTGTTTTGTGGCCTATGTTGTTTGTTTATGCTTCTGATATGTATTGACAATGACATCACGAGTTTTGTAATGTAATGAAAACACATTTTTTCGGAAATACTTTGATAAAAGCTTTATCATATTTTATTTTGCGAACAAATTCCGCAACATTTTTCTTTAAATGTATACTCTGATTTTCAAATAAAACATAAACAAATCGGTCTTTTCTGACCGTAAAATTAAGGATGTCACATCTTCCGCGTATGAGCTCCGTTTTCTAAGTTCATTATATCCACGCGTTGGTATTTACGAGTACTATAACTTTCATTTAGACCCCGTCGGCTAATTCTCAATCTATCTCAGATTTACAAAACTATATCGAATTTATCGCGCTCGAAGAGTAGGGACTAAGTTTCGTCCATATCTTTAACATACAAGATCTATTCTCGACGTTCATTATATCCACGCATTGGTATTTACGAGTACTACAACTTTCATTTAGACCCTGTCGACTAATTCTCATTCTATCTCAGATTTACAAAACAATATGGAATTCGTCGCGCTCGACGAGTAGGGACTAAGTTTCGTCCATATCTTTCGCATACGAGCTCTGTTTTCGGCTGTCTTTTTATCGTTGAACTCCTATTAACGATATCTTCATTTACCGTTTAAGTTTTTTTGGCTAAAGTCGACCGATCTAAAATTCAATTTCCGGGTTGTGCACTGTTATGCTAAATCTTAGAAAAATCATAACTTCCTCATACGAAATCAGATTTGGACGTTCTTTTTATAAACACTCTCGGTTTAACGTATACTACGACTTTCGTTTATACTACTAAGGCTAAAAAGTATTTTATCATAAATTCAGTGTTTACGATTCCTGATGTCGTGTCGGTTTTGCCGCAAAACTTCGGCAGGTCATACATTCTTCGTTATAAGTCGGATTTCAGCGTTGCTTATATCCCCAAAATCCTTGTTACGACTTCTTCAACTTTCTTTATAGATATTGGGTCTATCTATTAGTTCATTTTTGACACTTATTTTTATTACTATTTTATTACGTCGTTATAAATAAGTATAATGCACATAAAATCACATAAATCACATAATACTCAAATAATTATTCTTTATTACTTCAAAATAGGTTACAATGGTTGACCTAACTATTATATAATTATGATAATGTTTAGCTAGAAACGCGGACGTTACAGAGAAAGAGCAATGACAGATAGGATACGCCCCTGAACCGCTCTCCAAAGAAAGCTACTTACTTTGATGGGGATTAATTTACTCCAACTGATCAGGGTCTGAGATGAAGAAGACGAAGGACTATGCTCAATTTTATTCCGGAGTAGCTCGACCTTGTACCTACCATCCAAAGCCAACTGGCAAGATAAGTGATCTAAACTTGGTTGAAGTCGAGATGGCTCAATTGCCCTAATTAGTCTATCCAGATCAATAGATAAACCTGCATCGACTACACAGAACTTCCAATTCCAGTTGTTTCGATCATCTTGTATTCAAGAAGCCACCGAGCAACTTTTGTGTTCCTCCGGTTCATATAAAGATGGGTATATTACCTTCAATTTTTCTGCTCCAGTCCATACATCATTCCAGAATTGAGTATTATCTCCAGATTTAACAGATTGCTTGAATATGTCGTTGAATCGTAGACCCATGGATTCGATAACTTTTTTGGTGCTTGCAATGTTGTTCCACACACCATTAATCTTCTTTTTTGCCAGGTAGTCAAGTGGTTTATTATCAAGATTGTGAATACCTGTAGTATTGTAGGTTCAGATTTCAGTCTCCAACACCATTTTACTGTGAGAGCAATGTTTATTGCTCTGATCGACCCAACACCCGGTCCACCGTTTTCTTTGGAGGCAACTACCTTCTCCCATGCTACCCAATGAATCTTATTTTTTGTTTAGTTCCCTCCCCATAGGAACTTCCTTTGGATCTTCTCAAGACTTTCAATCACACCAATGGGCGCTTAGCTCGGCAGCCCAAAGCGCTCGTCTATTCGCTTCTTTTTCTGATGTGAATAGTTAATTTGTGAATTAAATAACGTGTAAGTAGTTATGATTCATTGGTTTAAGCCCAAACAAACTTTGATGTAAAACATATTGAGAACTTAGCGGTCTCAATAAATCGGACATGGATAAAAAGGGAGAAAAGATGCCCAACTCCAAACATGCATAATTTTTCATCCGTTAAAGTTTCACCTGTTACCTTATATATCCCTGAAAAGAAAAATCTAAAAATAAGGTATATCCATGTCCATGTAAATTCATGTTTCTCATTCTCTACCAACCAACCATCGACATTGCATACACGTCCGACATGGAATCCACATGTCATCCATGTAGTGCTAAAGTGACATATCGTTTGAATATTATTATTAGTATTTATGAATTGTCATCCATCTTGAATTTTAATCTGCATCGTCATCTTGGCATTTTCACTTAATCACTCTCTCTTGTTCATCTTCCCCGTGCTTCGAAATCAAGCATATTGACCTTTTTATTTATTTAGAGGTTTTGATCTTTTGGGGTTGCAAAAAGTTGTTAAAATTCTTGATCTTAAATGGTGTTTTTTGGTGTGATTTCTTGACTGTGGATGGTGAAGATAATGTGGAATGTAAATAAATTAATTATAATACCATGCTGGCATAGAAACCGGAATAATGGGATATCATAGGCAATATTGGTTGATATTAAACATTTTCAGCTAGTTTAAAGATGGTAAATAGTTACAAATAGTTACCAGCGACCAAATTATAATACTTATAATAGTTTCTTACCCATTATTAACATTATTTCAAAAATAAATTGAGATATCAGCATTATATATAATCATCAAACCAAAAATAGAGCATTAAAAAATAAAAAGCTCAATTTGTGATGCCTTGTGTTTCTTCCCCAATTTGAGAGACCAAGTGCCAAGTAGAATTTGAATACTCCAAAAACTACACCCAATAAAAGAATTGTACTACATTAGTTACATATATATCACTTGTATCTAGTTTAGTTATAAATAAATAAAACAGTTTCACCTCTTTAGTAATCTCTTGAGATTTACGGAGTAATATTTGCTGTGTAGATGCTGCTGAATCATTCTCCATATTAATCTTTTCATTTATAGCAGCCCCCTAACAAGTTTCAAAAAATATAAATATCTATATATTATAAACAATATCCAATATGAAAAAATGTATAAAAATAATCCATACCTCAGCAACCAAAGCTTCTACATTCCTTTGCCTTTGTTCCAAACAATGCCTACCATACTCCACTTGTGATCTCACATTATTAACTTCTTTGGAAGCTTCTTCACACTTGACTTCCTTTTCTTTTTCTATTTGTCGTAGTAATTCCTGTAATTGGTCCGCTGAAAAATGAAAAACTTTTATAATTTTTATAAAAAGAAATTATTAATTTATATAATTTTATAAAGAAGCAGAATCACCTCTGGCTTGTTGTTGAAATAGTTTGGGTTCAAGTGATTTATCCAACACCCCATCATCACTATTCTTAACCTTCAAAACCTTCACATCTTTCTCAACCTGTTTGCTAGAGTTTATCTGTTCAACAACCAAATATAGCTCTTAATTAGCAACAATCATGGCTATTTCTTTTTCTTTTTTGTATTTTGTCCTAACTGAAACATGTAGAATGACAGAAAAAGACAGAGAACCTGATCTTGTAATGTCTGCATCTGCTTCAGATGTTTGGTCATTTTCTTGCTAGCCTGAGAAAGAACATTCAAACAAAAATATAATCTTTATATTTTCATGCAAATTTTATATAAAACTAAATGTGCCATGTCATGATGTATATAATATAGATAATATGAGTGAAATACCTTTGCATAGACTTCAAGGGTGGCAGATTTTTCATGAAAAGATTGCATTGCTTCTCTTTCTGCATTCTTAGCCTCAATTTGAACTGCTTTCTTCTCCTCAAGTGCTTTCTATAAACAAAAAGATTAGAAAGAAAAAAGAAATGTATCAAGTCATTGTAAGCTTCAGTTGATTGTTATATAACTTCCACCTGTAGTTTAGCTGGAGATTGAACAATTTTGGAACGCAGACTTGCATTTTCTTGAGCACTTTGAACCAAAGCAAATTCAGCACTTGATATCTGAAAAACAAAATAAACAATTGTAAGGATATATGAGTGAAGTGATATAACCAAAGCATATGTGTACCTTTTCATCCATTTCTTTTGCTAAATCTTTCTTTTTTCTGAATGTAGCCTTTAGGGGACATTTGGTGATTATTAAGTGTTGAAATGGATTGACGAAGCTCTTTAATTTTGATCTCTACTTCTTGAATGAGAGGCATCTCCCTTTCCCTTGATTCATTAAGCTCTGATATCTCTGTGTTCAACTATGATGAAGATAGATATAGTTATTTGAATTTGACTGAATGAATAACTAAACCAATTATATTTCTTAAACTTACCTGTAATACTCTAGCCTCAACCTCCTGTTGTTGCTCACCAAGATTTGTCAAATCTTCCAACACTGGATTTAATTCATTTAATCTTGAGCCGCTAGGGTATTTAAAACAACATAACAGGTTATGTGGATGGCAAAATGGTGATACATTTTCATGATTAGAAGTGGATGCTTTTTAGAATTTGGTAAAATTGTGAGTCTTGTTTGTAAGTATAATAATCACAAGATGTAAATGTCAAGCATATGGTTAACTAAGTCGAACAATCTGATCAGAACACCAGTAACATGTCTAGGGTTGGGGTCTTACAGCATGAAAAGAAATAAAGAATTCCAAAATGACGCATGAAATTTGAAGAAAAAAAATATACCTGTGAATGAGAAAATTGAGGATAGTACCAAGAAAGAACTCAGTGCGATCAGCTTCAGGCTTAAGGAGATCTTTTAGAGTGAATTTCCAAGGGCAGTCGAGAGCAGAAATGAGTTCCCTTATCTTGTTGAACAAATTCATCATTCTTACAGAGTCAACATGCAAATCCGGGTTCTCAAGTTGTTCTAAGTCTGCAAATTCGACTAGTCCTTGATCTTCCCTACAAGTTCAACAGATACTTGAGAATTTTGATAGAACAGATAGTTTGAAAGGTAATAAAACATTAGGGTTTAGAAAGGTGTACTGGAGACGGCCGATGCAAACGAGTATTTGAGTGTAGAGATTGTTGATGAAGTCGGGTCTAGGGTTTTTGATGAGTTCGGCTTCGGAGACGGTGGCAATTTTGATTCGGCGAGTACTCCGATGATCTCTTTCCGGGGGAGTGTCGGATAATCGTACTTTGACATCTCCCCCCTTGTTTTTGTGTGTGTATGTGAGAGAGAGAGAGAGAGAGAGAGAGGTTTATGTGTGCGTTTTCCCGCCAAAGTGTGGAAGAGATTCATAGAAGAGTGATTGTGTCATAAAAAAAATAACATCCGTCAATGTGAAATACGATAACCAATGAATCAGGCTGCAGACAAAGAAAAAATAAGTTTACGTTTGACACTTGCTAGCTGAAAAAGTGTTAGACCGGAAAAAGTCTGTCTCGGTAAAAAATCATGACCGGGTAAAAAACCATGTTGTTTGATTGTACATCTGACTGAATATGCTGACCGATGAAAAATGACCGTTTTACCCTGCTGCTCTATACAGTGATTAAAATGATTGTTTTTTATGCTCAGCTAAAATAAATTTGTTTGTATGCAAATTTAACTTCGATGAACATTGTTAAATTAATAAACGGTCCACATCTAATGCATGAATTATATATATATATATATATATATATATATATATATATATATATATTACTTAAAAATTAACATTTTTGAGGAGTGAATACAAAACTAAATTTTATTTATTTTAAAAACAATAATTTAACCAAATGTAATGGACATGTGAAAACCCAGTCACATGAGTCATGAGTCAGAGGTATTTTCATTTTTATACATTAACAATATAATAAATTAATACACACTTTTTTTCTCTCCACTTTCACTTCAGTCGATTCTAGAGAGAGAATGGGATCTAACCCGATCTCCATACAAGAGTTGTAGCTCTTTTCTAGGGCAGTTCCACCCCTCCTCTGAACCATCGACCATGACGACACCACCGTTGCAAATCAAACTTTTTGTTCCTTTCTGGTGGGAAGAACAATCACGTAACCACCATGGATAGATGTCTAGAGCTTCCTCCAAGAATGGCAATGGTGTAATCCTATATTATTACCAAAACACCCTCACCTTCTTATCATTGTTCTCTTCGATCAATCGTAGTTTTGAATCCTCTTAGACTCGATCAACAAGTAAAAGGGTGCTCCCCTCTGCTTCTCTCTCAACAAGATGCAATTTTTTTTGGTTGGGTTTAAAAGGATAAACAGGGTTGTGGTGTTTTTGGAAAGTTTCCTGGTTCTTGTGTGTGAACAGGGCATGTTTATGGTTGTTTTTGTGGTAGCTGTACTGCTGCAATGTCGATGGATTTGTGATGCAAAGGGCAAAAATGTAAAGAAAACCAATATGACCGAGTCAGCTACTTTCATCTTATTTACCGAGGCAGATGGTTCTGGCCGAGTCATTCCACATATCAAACACACTCACCCGCATTGATCTGACCGAGTCAGACAATTTTGTCTGACCAGAATCGGTAAGACCCAAATCAAACAGGACCTAAGATTGTGTAAAAAAAAAGACATGCATTATGAACCTGATAATCTATAAAAGGGACAAATCAGTGGGTGCATGTCGATTATAGCATCACAACAATACATGCATCTTCTTTATCCTAATAAATAATAATGATTTTGCCACATGTCATCTTCTTCTTCATTTTGACACTTGTCATTTTCTAGATTTTTTTGAATTATTTAATATCCACTTGTCATTTTTATAGTTTTTTTCTTTTTTATTCAAATTTCACTTATTAAATGCCACATTATATTAATTAATTTTGTTAATATATTAATTAATATACATAATAACTTTCTATTTGTGAATTCCTCTTTCTATTAGTATATTAATTAATGTATATGTATATTAATGTAGATAGTACATTCCCTTTGTGAATTCATATTATTAATTTTATTAATATAGATTAATTAAGACCAAATTACATAAATGGTCCATGTGGTGTACCAAAGGTTACAAACTCAGCCATTACTTATTTTTTTTTATGAACATGGTCCTTGTGGTTAACAAAACTTACGTGAATGGTCTTTTTTTGCTTACGCCGTTACTTTTGGTTCTTTTAATAAACTCGTGTAATACACGAGTCTCACACCTACTAATCATAATATTTAATATAAACACATAAGCAAGAAACATGTATCAACAATAAATGTCATAAAACAAAAGCATACAAGGGGAGGCTACGCATCAACGTCATGTCCTTGAAAAGAGTCAGCTTCTCTATGTCAAGCCTCTCACTATCCTCCCACTTCCTTACAAGACACATCTCTTCCATATGCCTTCTATCATCTTGTTATTGTCAATGACGGTAGCCTCCTTTTGACATGTCCACACCACATAAAACGTCATTCCCTCATATTTTTAGTGATCTGTGTCACTCCCATGAGTTTCTTATAGCCGCAATCGAGATCTTATCCAACAAACTTCTACCGTTAGTCCACCTCAGCATCCTCATTTATGTTATTTCAATCTTCCTCTCGTGGTCATCTTTGGACGACCAACATTTGGATCCATACATCATTGTAGGCATAGTAGTTGCCTTGTAAAATTTCCCATTCATTTTTAACAGGATCTTCCGATCAAACAACACTTCAAATGTCGTCGTCCACTTTAACCATCGTATCTTTATGCGATGTGTGACACATACCATTACACTATCGTTTATGTGTTATTGACTCCAAATACTTAAAGCTCTCATTCGGGAAAAGAGTTAGCTCTCATAAACTTACATTTACTCATTTATTCGCCTTCTGCTGAAAAATGTAGAAAAGATACTTTGTTTTAACATTGTTGATTTGTAGTTCATTTTCATCTAATGTTATTGTATGTGTATTCAATTGAGCATTCAACTCAACCTTAGTAATTATACTTATGAGGCGGTGTATAAAATAGTCACATTCAACTTGATTGTTTGATATTCAAAAATGTTATATAATGAAAGGCACATGCATCCTAACTGTCTTGATTAGTCGTTATTCATTTAATAGCCAAGATATTATATTAGAGTTAATAAAAGATTCAAAGTAATACAATTGAATAATTATTGAAAAGGTTTTTAAAGTTTATGGAGTATACCTTAAAATGCGACAAATCGAAGAAAAAATGGATGTTTGAAGAAATGGACGCGTTTTGAATTTTTTTTTATTTCTAAAAGTTTTGATTTTGTTCGAGCCCACTAATTTTTTGCATTATTCTCCTACATATGAAGACGTCAAAGCCTCATCTACCATGGAACTATCATGTGAACCTGTCTCTTTCTTTAAATTTTTTTGTTAGTATTTTTTTTGTTTTTATTTATGTTTTATTTAAATAGGCAGACATGCAATCATTATATTAATCATTAATCGAAAATCTTAGAAAGTAATAAAAGTTTTAAAAAGTCGAAACTCTCCAAGTTAACAGTCACCCCAGTTAGCCACCATGACATCAAAGATAATATATTAGCATTTTTTTTCATTTCGAATGTTCCGGTCCAATCTCGGAACAAGTTTGGAATAAGTTTAGAAGGTTTGGTCGGTTCTTACTAGTCTTTAATTAATTTCAAAACAACCAATTTTACTACTTTGAAATTATTTTTAATGGAATATACATTTGCCAAAAGTGAAGAAATAACGCAAAAAAGGTAATACACGAGCTGACATGCATGTTGATGAAACATATGAAGTAATGGACGATGAGAATGTTGTTGGACAAATAGACCACATCTTACCGTTTTGATCATGCCTAACATTCCATTGCTCTGATTGACATGATTCAAGTTGGCATAGAAAGAAGACAAAATATCCTACAAACTTCATGTTTTAGGTTTTTGCCAAGAAAATCAAATATCCTCTTATTTTTTCTTCCTATTGTAATGTTTCGATTTTCAAAATAAATTTTTTGATTTTTAAAAGAGAATAAACACCCGCTTTGATGAAGTTACTTTCAAGTCAAACCATTTATTCATAAATCATAATTCAAAATCAGAATTATAAGGAAAACATTGTGGAATCTTGAAACATAAAAACGGTTGATGTGAGTGTGTACAGTATCGTCTTCGCCATCCGATAAGTACCTGAAAAACATTTAATCTACAACTGTAAACCATAGTTTAGTGAGTTCCTAAAAATACTCCATACAATAATACACATACAATGTATGCACACATGAGCCTACAGTCTGACTGGACCTCCTAGCAAAGCCTACAGTACACCTGGACCACTCTACCGAGCCTACAGTTTAACTGTATCGCCTTGCAAGGCCTACTGTAACACTCGTTTTTTCAGGTATATTTCTTGTATTATTAAAGTTTTAATTTTTTTTTGGGAAATTTGGTCCTACGTGGGGCGTAGGATAGTCACCTACGCATGGCGTAGGTCAAAAAGTCATTGCGAGGGTTTAATGCCCTACGTGGGGGGTAGATATATTTACGTAGGGCGTAGGTGCGTAGGGTTTAAACCTTAATTGTGGGGTTGTGAGCCATATTTAAGGGCCTTAACTCCTTGATAACGTCTGCATACTTAGCCTCCACCCTTTCATTCATTCACCTCGAAACCCTAGCTCCCTAGGGTGAACTTTGAAGCAATTGAGTGATTCTTTATGTGTTTTGTGAAGGAGGTCGTTGAAGGAGTACTTAGGAGTCCATAGCTTGTAGATCCAAACTTTGTTCTTCATCAACATTCACCAGGAAATATAAAACTTGAACCTTGATGATTCTGTTGATAGATCTAGTTAGTTATGGTTTTTTATGAGCTTTTGTCCCTTGACCTTGATTCTTGTGAGTATGAGCTACTTTGGACCTTATGAGTGGCATTTTCTATC